GCCGGTTGATGTAAAACAACAATAAAACAAGCAAGCATTATTGGATATTTTGCATAAAAAACCTGATCCCCCATACCGAAGACATGCGAAAAGTTTTCAAATCTGAGAGAGTCGAACTGAGTCGTTTGCTCTTTTGGGGGAGAGTTGCTCATTTGTAAATAGATTTACAAATAACATGGGACAGTTATGCCTATAACGGCAGTATTACTTATTTTTCAGTTAAGGTAGCCTGAGCTTTGGGCTACAAAATGGTGAGTTGACAACCTGGAAGGAGCGGAATACCTAGCTCTGGTCCTCACAAGTTCCTACTTCACGCCTCCCCGAGTCATATGATAACAAAAGACTACCAGCTGAAACATGGACACAGCTGGGTGGCGTAGCCTGGGCAATGTTGCCAGTCCGACAATAGCAAAGTGATGGGGTGCAACGCGAACACTGGCGCGGTAACCAAAGTACGGTGATAGAGGAAATGCTTCACCAAACCCGACCGTCTGTTCACCATGGAGGTGCGGCTCAAAACGGCGTCTATTCTCCATGTTAGGAGCGGCACGATGGTCCCCCGGCGAGGCAAAGGGTTGTGGCAGGCCCAACAAGCCGCCCTGGAAAAACATAAAGTTGCAAATACTGAAGAAACAAATACGCGACGAAATAAGGACTACGATTGGAAACTCGGAGCATGGAACTGCAAATCGGTCGGCTTCCCGGGCTGCGATAGGTTAATCTATGACGAACTTCAACCACGCAACTTCGAAATCGTAGCACCAACAATCAATACGAAACTATCGATTTGAAATTGGCTCACTACTTGACTAGCCTATTTGTCCCAAGCAAATTGATTAACGTACCCCATTCTAGTCAAAATTCTAGTACTGCACAATGTTTGTTTTGATTCGCTATGAAAGTTTGACAGATAAAATGAGGGGTTAGTGGAATTTCCTATGTTTCGAGGGGAAAATCGATTAGCTTGGGACCGAAGATAGTACCAGAGCTGAGCCAAAAAGTAGAGCTCGTTTCTTCGGGACCTACTAGTCTTAGAGTTACCTCTATGGTAGCACTGCAGGAACTTTGCTGGACGGGACAAAAGGTATGGAAAAGCGGGCATCGAGCGGCTACTTTCTACCAAAGCTGTGGCACCACCAACGAGCTGGGAACCGGCTTTGTAGTGCTCGGTAAGATGCGTCAACGCGTGATTGGTAGGCAGCCGAGCGTTTGCGAGGATGTGCAAGTTGAGGATTAAGGGCCGTTTCTTCAACTACAGCATCATCAACGTGCACTGCCCACACGAAGGGAGACCCGACGACGAGAAAGAGGCGTTCTATGCGCAGCTGGAGCAGATGTACGACGACTGTTCGCAACGGGACGTCAAAATCGTCATCAGTGACGTGAACGGGAGGCAATGTATAGACCAGCAATAGGGCCAAACAACCTGCATGCCGTATCGAACGCCAACGGCCAACGATGCGTAAACTATGCAGCCTCGGGGTATGGTAGTTCGAAGTACCTTTTTCCCCCGCAAAGCCACCTGGAGATCACCTGCCAACACACAGAAAACCAAATCGATCACGTTCTAATCGACGGGAAATTCTTCTCCGACATTATCAACGTCCGCACGTACCTAGTTGCAGTATGCATGCGCTCAAAACTCTCGACGGTGCATAACACCCGTCGAAGTCGAACGCCGCAACCCAACATTGAGCAACTACGGGACGCCGGAGTTGCCCAGGACTACACTGAAGCAAAGATAATAGTTAGGAATTTTTTGGAGGCGAACCAGCCTAAGGCTGAAAGCCTCCTAAATAAAGCTAAATAAATAATAAATAATAGTTAGGAATACTATTTTACAGAAAACACTTATTTTCAGTATAACCAACAATCAATACGAAACTAACGATTTTAAATTGGCTCACTACTTGACTAGCCTATTGGTCCCAAGCAAACGATTAACATATCCCATTCTAGTCGAAATTCTACTACTACACAATGTTTGTTTTGATTCGCTATGAAAGTTTGACAGATAAAATGAGGGGTTATTGGATTTTCCTATGTTTCGAGGGGTGAATCGATTAGCTTGGGACCGAAGAGAGTACCAGAGCTGAGCCAAAAAGTTGAGCACGTTATTTCGGGACCTACTAGTCTTAGAGTTACCTCTATGGTATAACTACGCTTAATACCGTTAAATCTACCATGATTTCAGTATAGTTGACTATAAATATAATCAAATTTACAACCATTCTGTCAAAACTACTATGCTGACTCAAACGTTATAGTAGTTTCGATAGAAAAATTAGTCAAATTAAATGAATTTCGTTTCTGCACAAATCTATTGGTGGGAGTATTTAATTTAAACCATCAATATAGTATTTTTGCCAATGGATTTTGTTTCTGTGTACGCGCAGCAGCTGGAAGTTGCACTACCCATGGAAGAGCAGCTTGGCGCAGCTTCTCTTGAAGATGGCTGGAGGGACATCCGTGCCGCCATAGGTACTACTGCTGCAGCGGCACTAGGTACTGCAATCCCGGACCGAAGAAATGACTGGTTTGACCGAGGGGGGCGACACATCTAAATCTCAAGTTTAGATGCTCAACAAATCTCACACTAGCGAATCAATCTTCGAACAATCTTCTTTCATTTGTCGCATCTACTTGCATCGCTCATCAATTTTTTGCAGGAAATCTTCAGAAACGTCATCAATCTTCTTTCTATCTACTCAGCGTGCGCGCAACTAGCCACAGCAAAACACAATCTTTTTTGCATCGTAGATAGAGTCGTCCCCCTCGGGTTTGACGGCGAATGCAAACTGTTAGTAGAGGAGAAGAATGCAGCACGGGCGAGAATGCTGCAACACCGCACGAGATTGAATGTGGAGCGATACAGACAAGCACGGAACAGACAAAACTCGGTTTTCCGAAGGAAGAAGCGTCAGCAGGAAGACCGAAATCGCGAGACGATGGAAAATCTGTACCGCGTAAACGACACACGGAAGTTCTACAAGAAGCTAAATAGTTCGCGCAAAGGCTACGTGCCGCAAGCCGATATGTGCAAGGACTTGGACCTTGGAGCACACGCAGAAGACGACAGGCTACCGGCCCCTGATCTTCAAGAAGTTGAGGAGGAGATCGGTCGGCTGAAGAACAACAAAGCAACTGGTGTAGATCAACTACCAAGTGAGCTATTAAAATACGGTGGTGAAGCACTGGCTAGAGCGCTGCACTGGGTAATTGCCATTCGGCAGGTTATGCAGAAATGCCGCGAATACAACATCATTTGTTCATCGATTTCAAATCCGCATACGACACAATCGATCGAGATTAGCTATGGCAGATTATGCACGAGTACGGATTTCCGGATAAACTGACGCGATTGGTCAAGGCGACGATGAATCGAGTGATGTGCGTTGTTCGAGTATCGGGGACACTCACAAGTCCCTTTGAATCTCGAAGGGGGTTACGGCAAGGTGATGGACTTTCGTGTCTGATATTGAACATCGCGTTAGAAGGTGTAATTAGAAGAGCTGGGATAGACACGAGTGGCACGATCTTCAGGAAGTCCATCCAGTTTCTTGGCTTCGCCGATGACATCGACATCATGGCACGGAACTTTGAGACGATGGCGGAAACGTACATCAGACTAAAGGCTGAAGCTAGACGGATTGGACTTACCATCAACGCATCAAAGACAAAATACATGAAATGAAGAGGTTCTAGGAAAGACAATGTTAGCCTCCCACCCCGAGTTCAGATTGACGGTGACGAAATCGAGGTAGTCGATGAGTTCGTGTATTTGGGCTCACTGGTGACCGCCGAAAATGACACCAGCAGAGAAATTCAAAGACGCATTATGGCAGGGAATCGTGCCTACTTGGACTCCGGAGGACGCTCCGGTCGAATAAAATTCGCCGCCGCACGAAGTTGACTGTCTACAAGACGCTGATTAGACCGGTGGTCCTCTACGGCCACGAGACCTGGGCTATGCTCATGGAGGACCAACGCGCCCTTGGTGTTTTCGAACGGAAAGTGTTGCGTACCATCAACGGTGGAGTGCAGATGGATGACGGAACGTGGAGGAGGCAAATGAACCACGAATTGCACCAGCTGCTGGGAGAACCATCCATCGTCCACATTGCAACAATTGGGCGACTACGGTGGGCTGGGCACGTCGTAAGAATGCCGCACGACGACCCAGTGAAAATGGTTCTAGAAAGCGACCCAACAGGAACAAGAAGAAGAGGCGCCCAGCGGGCAAAGTGGATCGACCAAGTAGAAGGCGACCTGCGGACCCTTCGCAGACTACGAGGCTGGCGAAGTGTGGCCATGGATCGAGTAGAGTGGAGACGACTTCTTCGGACAGCAGAGGACAACAAGGCCTTAGCCTGATTGGTAAGTAAGGTAAGCTTGAGGTGACATATCACATACGGCAAAGCAGTGGAAATTCTCGATTTTTCTTTCTAGTACAGCATTTATTCAAAGCCATTTTGGCCGCATTATGAATAATGGTGGTTACTGGATTCACGTGACTTCACATTATCGCGCACTGGAGTTTGCGTCGAATCACGTGAGTCACAGGAAACCTCCTGAATATCTTCTCTTGAAGGCATACTTACTACACAAACACACACGGAACCTTGGTGCAAATATTCTAGCGATCATTTTTCGATTTCTTTCTATCACGCGCCCCGATTTTTAGTCTTTTGTTTTCTTCATTCGACTTCACTGACGGTTTCCCTGCTGCGTGTACGATGATCGTTCAGTGATTGTTGTGCGATTGTTTAGTTAGTTTTTGTTTCGTGCAGTTCAACAGGTTATAGCATTTCTAAACTCTTGTTTTCCAAACAAGTGCGCAGTGCAAAGACGGCTTTGCTGCTAGCGTAATGCCGCCGTACAATAGTGCAAATATAATAGAACTTCTTTAACAGTGACATCAATTGCAATTTTTGCCAACATCATTAGGGGGTGGGAAAATAAAAAGGGAATATTTCGAATACAAGGAACAAACGAAAGAGCAAAGAGAATAGTTCATCAGTTTATTACAATAAAACTGTAAAAATTAATGATTCTTTTACAACGCAAATACAGACAAAAAAAAAAGAATTTGATTCTCCTATGAAGTTGAAATGAACTAGGGCGAACTGAATTGTAGAGAAATCAGAAAACAAAATTAAATGAAGGAGAAGTGAGGAAAATGAAATGGAATCAACAAAAGATACATTATCATAGACCATTGCGAACAAAAATTACATCTTATCTTAATCCTCGTCGTTAAATCACTAAAGAATGTATATCGCTTTCATGCAAGAATCCCACTCAATGAAAATATAAGCTTAAAAGTATAGGTTTTGCCGATTAAAATTGAAAGCAATCTTTTAGTCACAATTTTTTTTTTTTTCGTCAGTGATAGTAATAGAACTGAATTTTTACACTTAATTATCATCTTACAGATAGGGAAATAACTTAAATTTGATTTGGATTTAAATAGATTTGCTGCAGTTATCGATTTTAATATGCATTCTCGTTTTTTTTTTGCATTTCAAATAGTAATGTCATCTTTTTTTAAGGTTGCTGCTTCTTTTTTTTATTTTATATGGCGATTCGAAATTGCCATCGCCATGATTATTTAAAGGTAAAACTTGTGATGGATGTCTTTAACGGGATAGTGTTTGATTTGTTTCACAAAAAGTGGTAAATGCATCATCAGGCTGAGCGTTTGATCTAACAGTTGGAAAGAGGGAAGGTGTATGGAAGCAACTCTGGGGGAAAAGTAGGGAAATTGGAAACTGAAACTAACAAATGGAATGAGTTGGATGTGTAATCGGGAAATTCCATCGTTTCTCTTAATCTACCGCTTGAACGAGATTCTGTTTTGTGGGGATCCCTTGGGTGGATCTCGCATGCTGAAGGTGGTTTCCCGTACCTTTGTCAATTAAGCTGTAGCTGTTCACATCAACGTGTGAACGAGTAAAACAAAATAGAAATACAGACATCTCTCCGTTGTGCTATATCAGGCCATCAGACTTGAAGCCCTGTTCTCTTTTCACGATAGTTGGTTGGTTATACACACTCCAAGTGCCGTCAGTCGTCATGTTCTAAATTTAGTTGTACTGCTCTGGTAGCACGTAGGAGATGTCATCCCACGGGTGACGGTACAGACCCTGCTTCAGGCGCTTTTGATCCATGTAGTGACCGATGAAACCGATGCTGCGACCCAACACGAACAGTGAGTTGATAGCACCGATGTTGATGTACTCCTGGGCTTCCTCGCTGCAATTAAATGAAATTTTGCATAAGCATATGGAGTGACAGAGAGAAGATAAATCCGCAGGTGTTATTTTCCCTGAATCGGTATTGTTTAGTGATGGCCATAAAAACAAATTTTTCACATGTTAAATGGGGAGGCGTCGAAATAATTCCTTCCAAAAAGGAGACCGATCCTCAAGGATTTGTCTGAAAGTGAGAATTTTGTTGAAAGCACGGATTTCCGGATAAACTGACCCGATTTGTCAAGGCGACGATGGATCGACTGATGTGAGTTGTTCGAGTATCGAGTTCGAATCTCGAAGGGGGTTACGGCAAGGTGTGTCCTTTCGAGGCTGCTATTTAAGAACGCATTGGAATGTGTGATAAGAAGAGTTGGGATAGTCACGAGTGACACGATTTTCGTCACGAAAATTCGTCCAGCTTCTTGGCTTCGCCGATGACATCGACATCATGGCATGGAACGATGGCGGAAACGTACATCAGACTGAAGGCTGAACGCCAGACGGATTGGACTTGCCGTCTTCTTCTTCTTCTTTCATTTATTTAACGTCGGTCTCTGTTCCGCAATCTGGTGCCAATCACTGACGGACATCGATTGACGGCAATCGAATGTACAGGAAGGCAGGTTCCACGCCTGCCTAGGATATCACACCTATTCAAACACACATGGGACGGTCAAACGGCTTTACTTCCCTTCCGAAGGAAGACGTGACCAGAGATTTTTATGCCTTAGAAAAATCCCGCCGACCTCGTTTGGGATTGAACCCTGCTGCATAACAGGAAGAGGTTCTATTAGGGAAGAAAATGTTAGCCTCCCATCCCGAGTTCAGACTGACGGGGACGGTGGTCGACGAGTTCGTGCTCACTGATGACCGCCAAAAACGATACCAGCAGAAAAATTCAAAGACGCAGGGAATCGTGCCTACTTTGGACTCCGGAACATTCGTTGCACCACGAAGTTGATTATCTACAAGACGCTGATAAGGTCTGTAGTCATCTACGGCCTGAACTATGCTCGTGGAGGAGTAACGCACCTTTGGTGTTTTCGAACGGAAGGTGTTGCGGAGCATCTACGGTAGAGTGGAAGACGGAACGTGGAGGATGCGAATGAACCACGAATTGCACCAGCTGCTGCGAGAACCATTTATCGTTCACACTGCAAGAATTGGGCGACTACGATGGGCTGGGCACTTCGTAAGAATGCCGCACTACGACCCATTGAAAATTGTTCTCGAAAGCGACCCAACTGGAACAAGAAGAAAAAGCGCGCAACGGGCATGGTGTATCGACTAAGTAGAAGGCGAACTGCGGACCCTTCGCAGACTACAAGGCTGGCAACGTGTGACCATGGATCGAATAGCGTTGAGACAGCAGAGGACATCAAGCCTAAGGTAAGGTAAGAGAATTTTCCCGAACAAGAGTTCCCCAAATGCAACGAAATATTCTTACCTTGTGAAGGAACCGCAGTTTCGCAGCATATCGACGAAGCAGGTCGCAATGACACCATCCACGTTCAGGATCAGGTTCGGTTTCTTGCTGGTGGTGATTTTCTCCACCTCCAGAGCATACTCCAGCAGCGGCTTGGTCGGGAAGTTTTCCATGACAAACTCCTTGATGATCTTAACTCGGATGTCCGGATTGTTGATCGACTTTACGCGGTGACCGATACCCATAATCAGCTGACCCTGTGGAGTGAAGACAAAAGTTCAGTTAGCTCAAGGGAATTTCCCTAACTAATTCTTCTACCCACGCACCTTCTTTCTCATGGAGTTGACAAATTCCATTGGATGCAGGTTGGAATCATAAGCTTCGGAGAACTGCTTAGCAGCACCATCCAGAGCACCACCGAATCGATCACCCTGGAAAAATGAACAAATCCAATTATGATCCATTCGAAATGCATATAAAAAAAAACCCAAAACCTACAATTGTCAGTAAACCGCTGACCACCGACGAAACTAGATCCTTGCCGGCACGAGCACAGACGATCGTGTTGTGAGCACCGGATACAGCCGGTCCATGATCGGCCGTCACCATCAAACACATCTCGAAGAACTTGCACACGTACGGGGGCAGGCACCGCTGGAACCAGAGCAACGACACAACGCCACCAATACCGACATTCTTCTGCAGAACGTCACTGATTGGCATGCCAGCGTACAGCAGCTCCTGTCCTCGTTCATCGCAGATCGATGTCATGAAGGAAGCCGGCTTACGAATCAATCCCAGTTCGCGGGCCCACGAGTAATCCATTGGGACGGTTGGTGGTGGAACTTCTTCCGCTGGGACGATCACTCCACTCTTGACCAAATCGGCGTAAACAGATTCAACCATGTCACCTAGGTTGTCGAACGAATCCGGCACGTGAGCACCAGCATCAGTCAGCGCCTTGTTCTTTGCGGCGGCTGTTTCCCGATCCGAGTTGGCACACGATCCAGCATGACCGAATTGCACCTCCGACGTGAACATTCCAGCGCAAGTACCAATACACCAAGCGATCAATGGCTTTGTGATCTGTCCATTCTGAAGAGCTTCGCAAACTTCATACTCCTCGACGCCACCCACTTCACCCAACAGCACAATCATCTTTGCATCTGGATCGGCTTGGTATCGAAGAATGTGATCCATAAAGGTAGTTCCCGGATAACGGTCACCTCCAATGGCCACACCCTCGAACACGCCATTAGTGGTCAACGAAATAATGTTGTTCAACTCGTTAGACATACCACCGGAACGAGAAACGTAGGCCACACTTCCTGGACGGTACAGTTTCGAGTGCAGGATGTTATCCAACATACCACCGGTGTTGCCAATCTTGAAACATCCCGGCTTGACACCACCGACCGTGGCCGGTCCAATGATGGAAACATTCTTTGAACGAGCTGCCATGTTCAGTTTGCGCGTATAATTTTCCGGAATACCTTCGGCAATGATGGCAATCGTACGGATCTGCGGGTAGTCCAGCACCTCCATCGAGCTTTCGTAGGCGGAACGTAGCGAAGCAAAGTTCACCAATACGTCAGCTTCCTTGTGCTTGTTGATGGCCTCGGACATCTTCGAGTACACCGGAATCAGCACCTCCTTGTGGCCCCAGTAGAATTTCTGCTTGTGGTACCCGGTGAATGGGTAAACCATGGCCACCACGGACGGTTCATCGCGCCTGTAAACGGTCAAGAACAGTCAACACGTGTCTCTTTCTTTCGAGAGGAAACATTCAACAAACATACCGACAAATGAAATCGAAGTCCAACATCGATTGGACGGCACGTGTCTGCATTCCCCAGACCAGCGCCTTGGTACGATTGGTGAACATTCGTTGATATTCGCCGGAGCCAACATCTACCTGGGAGTACTTGACCGCTGTTCCACCTATTGTGTGTAAATAAGAGACAAAACGCCCAATTAATCGGTTGCTATACATTTTACATTCCCGGATGTTGGTCTATTACTGGTCTTAACTGGGCGGCTGCTGGCACCGTTGTTGCTGTTGGCGGTCGTCGCAGCCGATTGTATTGCGCTTGGTGGTGTTGTTGTTGTGCTGGTTGCTGTTGCTGAAGGCGGTGTGTAGTGTGTAAAGTTTTATGAACGGCAAACAATATGGATGGTGGTACATACACACATACGCACATACACGCACGCACACATGGGAACACGGGGACGGGCGAGGATGAATATTTGGCAACACGTAGATTCGTAGCATGGTTGGTACGTGTTGACCACGGATGAGGCGGGATTCGTATGGCGTATTTAGGCATGTGAGGGTACGATTTGGAATTTCAACCGGGATAAGTGCCAACAGAACCGATAAATAAAAAGAATGAAAACAATTTTGATTAGGAAGCAGCTCTGAGTACGGATGAATTGTGCAAAAAAATTGAAACAGAAAACGCAAGGATATTATGGACGGAAGTGCTATTTGATTGATTAGTTACAGTTAATGACGGTGACGATGTGTGGTTAGGAACATGTGCGGGTAAATGTAGGTACCGTCTTGATGGCTGATAGGATGTTTCATATGCTAAAAACTCGACTCATGAATACTTTTTGAGCATAGGTGATCCACATCTTTTGGGTCCAGCTTGCGATTGCCAATTCAGCATAAGCCATCATGTGTGCTCATTATTTTCTTCCATATCTATTGTCAGATGTTTAAATGTTAAAGGCGCACTATGTTTGAATAATGCATATTTTACCGAGGTAACTAAGCACGTGTTACAAATCAATAAAAAAAAAATAATTCTGTTATGATACATTTTAATGTTTCTATGAATGTGATAAAAAAATTAAAAACTAACATTTTACAATAAGATATTTTTTACGATTTTAAAAACAACGCTGTCTATCAAACTTGACAAATAATAGTAATAGGGTTTTGAATCTAATTTTCGTCCTCCTAAGCATAACCCACATTTAACATCTCTTTTTCGAACGAATATGAACTCACAGTAGAGTGATTCTACTATATATGAATTCCAAATGTATTTACCTCTCTATACGTACCGTTGGATTTGATAAAGAGTCACAAATTATTGAGATATTGTAAGAAATCTAACACTGCTTCTTGATTGCAAATTCGTTACACGAATTTCAATTCCGTCCTATCCTAACGCATTGAAACGTCATTGATTTTTCTTCGTTCTACGAATGAAGACAGAAAAAAATGGATTTGCTAGGAGCGTTTCTTTTGTTTTGAGAACAATGAGTTTGAATATTCATACAACGTACTCGTATACACTCTAAAAAATCTTCACGTCCGATTTACGTGAATTATCACGTAGGGGAACTAGGGGCAAGAAGGTCACCCTCAATATATTTTGAAAATGAAATCATTTCAATTTTATCTCACGATGAACCAATGCACAGTATTCGTAAAAAAAATGCAAAAAATCATTTTGTGTTGATGCATTGAAAAGCTAGTTTTTTATAAGAATAAGGCATCATAAAATAAGGTTTTCGGAATTTCCAATTTATTTTTTTCACAATTTCTGCATTGAGACATCACTATTGATGGTTGTTTGATACATTAATAACACTAAATTATTAAATATTTTGTTTAATTAATCAAAGATTATATTCCTAAAAATAAACTTTATACGGGGCGAGTGCCACCCCTACATTTATGTATTAAATTGTACAAAAATGTTCAGGAATTAACACAATTGGGCATTTATATTTCCAACATACATTTTTTTCGTGAAATTTTGGAAAACAAACTGTATAAAATAGTATCAAAAATAGTTTCCATTAGAATCTTTGACGCACATGGTTTATATGTTTTAGATATAAAAAATATATCGTTAAGTCAATATTTTAGTGGAATAAACAATAAAAGCAGTTGCTGTCATACCTAAGAATAGTAATTTGTTGTTTAGAAATGAACATTTATCAGTTTCACTTCATTTTAGACATATGGTCTTTTTGCCCCATAAGAGTGGCCCTCTTGCCCCGTAGCATTTTTTAGAGCAGGTTCGACATGACATTTTGAAAAAAATCATTAACATTTTTTGATGGGGTTTAATTTTAATTTCAATGATGATACATGGAGACAAGGTTATAAACTTACAATTCGATTCACAAACTCCTATAAATATTCACGGAATCACATATAAAAACGCGCTATCGTTAGGGTGACCTTCTTGCCCCTAGTTCCCCTACCTGATCTGTATTAAGAAAATCTCAAATGTTACGTTATGTTAGTAACTTTGACTGGCATTGCAAGTCATGTTCACTAAAAATGTTGGTGAATTCGACCGCATATTCACGTAAACAGATTTCGTGTATTTGTGTTGCGACTTCGATATTTCCGCAAAACGGGATGTACGTGATTTTCAGGTACGCAAACAAAATCAATATGGCGTCACCGAGCGTGGTGGAAGAACACTTCAAAGATTCAAAATTTTCCAGCAGTTTGCTGCAAATATTGGACGGTAAGGTAATTTGATTCTTTTACATTAATTGATTTATGATTGTATGTCGCATTTTTCTAGTTTTATAATTTCAGACGATGGCATCAGCATTTTGAGTCTGCAAACCTCGCTGCAAACAGTTGTTAAAGTTTTGTCAGAAATAAAAAAAAAAAAAACTCATACACGTTTCTACCTCATAATAATCAATTAGTCAATAATTTACAATTTTATGAGTAGATATAAGCATTAATTTCAACATGTGGATTTTATATCTGCCCGATAAAATTGCATAATATTGATTGCTTTTATTTATACTGATGCTGATGCGGTATAATAGTAGTGACTTTAGTGACTAAAATTACGAAAATAGTGACCAAATAGTGACTTGTAAAAACTTAATAAGTAACCATTTATATGGTAACTTAGAAATTCAAATATGGCTTGATATTGAAATAAACTTTTTATGTCTTGGAACTTACAATCAAATTTCATAAATTCCTCTAATTTAATCGAATATCTAGGTAGATAACATTGATAATTCGCTAAGAACTTTCCACAGAATTTCTTCAGCATGATCTCAAGAACTTTTTTAGAATAATTTCTCTTCTCTTAAACTTAGAGGCAAATAAGGTTTTACAAAAATAATATTGCATTCTTGAAATTCATTGCAGAACAATCAACAAAATTCGTGGAAATAGATTATTTTCGTAGTTGGAAATGCTCAACATCAAATATCAGAATTAAAGTGAACATTTTATACGATAGATGAGGAGATGAAAGTAAAGAGTTGATAGTTCCGTAATAACTAGTAAGGCAGTGTGAAATTTGTATATTGAAAGTAGAAAGCGATAAAGGACAATTTTAAGGAAGGTACGAATCGAGTAGAGCATCTCCTTTACCAAGCTCATCCGATGAGGTGGTGAGGGGTGTTTTCCCCTGCCACCACTGGCAAAAGGGATGATCGCCTATTTGCTCATGTACCTCTGATGTGCGGAAACAGTTCTATCGATTGTTTCACACTCAAGTCGCCATCTGACGTAAACAACTACCCGTTTCGTACCTTCCTCAAAATTGTCCTTGCTCGCTTTCTACTTTGTATATACAATGTTTACACTGCCGTTACTATAACGGAGCTATCAACTCTATAATTTAATGTCCTCATCTATCGTATAAAATCTGCACTTCAAGTCTGATATTTGATTAAAGTAGATTATTTTAGATTTTTTATTGATTCTTCTAGGAAGTTTTGAAGGGCTCCTTCCATAAATCTATTTTAGATTTATTTGAATGCACCTTAGAATTTTCATGCAATTAACCTCTGAAAATTAAAAAAAAAATCTGCTTAGAATAACCTTGGACTTCTCCCCGGCATTCATTCTCCTTAGAATTCACATAGTATTTCCTCAGAATTCTCAAAACAAAAATTCATCACAGAATAACTTCTAGAAATTCCTTTAAGATTGAACGCTCAAAATTCGATTCCATTGGAATTTTTCTCGGAATTTATTTCGAAACCTTTAGAATTCTCTTGAAGTATCTTCAAAAATCACCCCAGAATTCTTTTAGAACTATCCGTACAGACCATCTTTGGAGTTCACGGGATTTTCATGGAATTTTCATCAAAGCTCCCTTAAGCAAAATTTCAGAAATAATTTTGAATCCTCATTTAAATTCTTATTAGAATCATCATCCAATCATCATAGAATTCTTCTCAGAACTCTCGTTAAAATGCACTCTCAATTATATTGGATTGAATTATTTCCAAAATTGTATCAGAGCTGAATTTTGCGTCTCTAATAATTTAAACAATAATCAAAAGCGACGCTCGTATGTGTTAAGCCAAGTTTGACTATATGGGTAAACCTGGCTTAAGATTTAAGCGGAGATGAAAAAAATCGATTCTCAGAGCACTTAATTTTACGTTAGACTTTCATAGTCTGTACTTTGGTATTCTTCTCTGATATATCTTGGTGTCATCCCTAGAATCCTTTAAAATTCTCTTAAAATTTACTTTGGATTTTTTAAATTTCTTAATCATTCTTGCAAGACTTTTGATAATCTATCACAGATAAATACCTTTGGAAAGATTCCAAGGTTTACATTTTATTTTTTGGGAAAGGGGGTATATTTTCCCCAATTTTTAATCGAAATCGAAGGCATTTCCCAATAGTTTTACTGATGCTCTAAAGTTTTGCGGTTCACTGGTCACCCTGGTTAAAAAATTTTAACAGATATGTATATTATGTTAAAATTTCTGTAGACTTTCTTAGTGCCAAGTACTCAATTTCAACATTTTGTTGATATTTTTAAATTTCACTCTATTTTAGTAGTGAAAAAGTGACTTTAGTGACTATTTTAAAGGAAATAGCGACTTTTTGGTGTAAAAAGTGACTTTTTAGTGACTGGCTTCAAAATAGTGACCAAGTCACTAAAAAGTGACCTGCTACCAGCCCTGCATTTTAAACAAAACGGAATGTCACGTAAAAGCTACCAGTTGTCCAGTAGTTTTCACCCCGATTTCACGTAGCAGTATGTGAAAATCAGGTCTTACTTACCTGACTAATCACGTAGATAATCGAAGCTGGATTTTGATCGGCTACGTGTAATTCCGGTAAAAGTTACGTGAAAAATAGGGTGGACGAAAA